CATCCCCCCGCCCTTCCCAGGGCCGCCCACTGGGGGCGTCGGGAGCGCGGAGGGCCGCTGGCTTCCCAGACAGGAAGGACCAGGAGCCGCCAGGCCCAGGCCCTTCCTCCGCCAGCGAGGAGGCCTCGCGGGGACGGGGCGCCCCGTTTTCAAGCGCATTGGGCGCCGCGATACCCTTTGCTACCCAACCTGGGTGCTGCTTAGCGTCCTGCGGACCGACGCGCTGGGTCCCGCTGCCCCCGGAGGGTGTGGGCTGCTGACTTGTTCTCTTTGCTGGTGGGGCTGCAGCATTTCCTGTGTTACACCTGCCAGGAGTACGTGGAAGACCTGGCCAAAATCCCCAGGAGTTTCTTACAGGTAAGTTTCCGAGAACAGCAGCGCGCCCTGCTCCGGGCCTGGGGCATGTCCCCCACATTTATCATCCTCCTAAGGGGGCGCGTTAGGGACCCATCCCGGCTCCATGAGCTGGTGCTGCAGCTTATGAACATGCCAACCACAGTAATGCTTTTGACACTACCCAGTAACCTGCCTACTCACAAATGTTGGATGATGAAGACCAAAAACACAAATGCTGGCAATTGCTGATATTTCTTTCCTTAATTTTATAATAAAAACACTCCAGATAGTTGCTCATTACAGGGAAATACATATATCTTAAAGGTGAAAAATTGTATGTGTAATGGGGTGCACATTCCACATCCCTGTAACAACCAAACACATGTGTTTTATGTTTTTCGTCAGGCACATGCATAGAGATTTGTCCCCAGGTGAGCTTTCCAGTGAAGGCATTGGGCAGCCTTTGTGAAACTCAGGTCTGTTTTCCCCAGACCTTACCATTGGGATGTGAAAAAGTAAAATTGATTAAATAATACTACTTTAATCATTTTTATTCTTTGCTGAAGTATTTTTATTGATTTGTTTTTAGAGGACAAGGGAGAGGGAGAGAGAGAAACATCAGTGTGAGAGTGAAACATGGATAGGCTGCCTCCTGCACGCCCCCTAGCGGGGACTGAACCCACAGCCTTCTGGTGCACAGGACACCACCCAGCAACTGGGCCGCAACAGCCAGGGCAATTCTTCTTTAAAGTACACTTTGGGGGAGTGTAGGGAATTATTGACTATATTAAAGTTCTTAGCAAAAGATCATCAGAATGAAACATTTTACCATACATTTCTTTGCTGTGACTCACACACCTTTGCCATTTATTCCATTCTTCTAGAAGTCTATAGATGGCTTTGGAATGGAATGGATAAGGGGAAGTTGGAAACATAATTTCTAATAGTATGTGCATGTGTGGTTTTTCTCCTAAAGGAGGCAAATGTCACCCTTATAGTGATTGGACAGTCATCCTACCATCATATTGAGGTAAATTCAACCAGGGCTACTCTTCTTTAAAGTACACTTTTGGGGGGAGTGTAGAGAATTACTACTAGAGGCCTGGTGCACGAAATTCGTGCATGGCTTGCGGGGGGGGAGGGGGAGGTGTCTCTCAGCCCGGCCTTCACCCTCTCCAATCCAGGACCCCTGCCAGCCTGATCCCCCTAACCATCTCTGCCTGCCAGCCTGATCCCCCTAACTGCTCTCCCCTGCCGACCTGATCCTCCTAACTGCTCTCCCCTGCCGGCATGATACCCCTAACTGCTCTCCCCAGCCAGCCTAATCGCCCCTAACCACCTCTGCCTTGGCCCCCGCCACCGTGGCTTTGTCCGGAAGGACGTCTGGAAGGATGTCCGGAAGATGTCTGGTCTAATTAGCATATTACCCTTCTTTTAGTATGGATATAAAAGTTCTTAGCAAAAGATCATCAGACTGAAACCTTTTACCAAACATTTCTTTGCTGTGACTCACACACCTTTCCCATTTATTCCATTCTTCTAGAAGCCTATAGATGGCTTTGGAATGGAATGGATAAGGGGAAGTTGTAGGAAACAATTTCTAATAGTATGTGCATGTGTGTTTTTTCTCCTAAAGGAGGCAAATGTCACCCTTATAGTGATTGGACAGTCATCCTACCATCATATTGAGGTAAATGTATAACAAATTGAAAAATTAACATATTAAAACTAACAGACATTGCAAGTGTATGATTTGAACCAATAAGTGTAGGTTATATTTACTGAAATTAAGTTAGATTATAATTACTTTTCTCTCATTTTTTTTCTTGTAAAGATCTCACATATTCTCTTTTTGCAGCCTTTTTGCAAACTGACTGGGTATTGTCATGAAATCTACGTTGATCCTGAGAGAGAAATTTATAAAAGATTAGGAATGAAAAGAGGTGAAGAAGTTACCTCCTCAGGTAACTTACACATGACATGTCTCAAATAGAAAACACTGATGATGTATTTTTACATTTGAATCTACATGCTTAGGGGAACAAATGGTAAGTTAATAACTCAGACTGTTTCTTATGATTCCTGAAAGCGGTCCAGATCCACCAGACCCTAAAAGATTCCTTTCTGGGGGTGTAATGACATGGAAAGCTGCAAAGAACTAAACATACTTCGTGTGTGTGTGTGTGTGTGTGTGTGTGTGTGTGTGTAATGGAAAAGATTTTAAAAGATATTGCAGTGCTAACCCCAACAAATGGAAGTGAGAAAAATGGCTTTTATGTGTTTTTAAAATGAGTACATTTTACCTTTATGATTAAAAGAAAATAATTGCTTAAGCTAATATACTAGTACTTTTACTAGGAGCCCAATACGCGAATTCATGCACCCTGAAAGGAACTGTTGGCCGCGAGGCTGCAGTGGGCACAGGGACGGGTCTCGGCCCATCCTACGCACCCCCGTCCAGCCCCTCCTGCTGCGGCCCCATTCCCTGTCTGCCAGCAGCCCTGCTCCCACCACCACGCTCCCACATGCTGACAGCACTGGCTCCACTCGCACCCGCTGACTGTACAGAGCCACTGAGGCTGGTGCCAGCAGTGGGTGCGAGCGGAGGCTGCTGCCCCAATCGCCCCTCAGGACCAGGGGGACGGGGAGAAGCCCTCAGGGGCAATTGGGGTCAGCAGCCACCACACACACCTGCTGACGATGCTGAGTGATTGGGGCCGTTGCTGGGCGCCGGCTGCGGATGCGAACAGTGGCTTCGATGCCAGCAGTGGGTGCGAGTGGGGCCGGCACTGACAGCAGGTGGAAACACCCAGTGGGACCACGGCGCGTGGAAGCAAAGAATTTTCAGTAACCACCAGAGGCTCACCCCAATGATAGCGACCAGCGCCCTATCTTGGTCTGGTGCCCCTGCTCACCCTACTTCACCATCCCGCCGCAGCCGATGCCTGCCATGTTGTGCGCTCTGCCACCTGCTGCCGACGCCCGCCATGTTCCGCACACAACCCGTGGTGGTCAGAGCACGTCATAGCGACTGGTTGTTTGGTTGTTCAATTGTTCTGCCGTCCAGTCTATTTGCATATTAGGATTTTATATACTATACTAGAGGCCCCTTGCACGAAGAGATTCGTGCAATAGGCCTTCCCTTCCCCTGGCTGCCGGCACCGGTTTTCCTCCGGCACCCAGGACCCAGGCCTTCGCTGCTCCAGCTGGAGCCTTCAGTCTTTGCTCCGCCACTTCATGCCTACATATGCAAAATAACCGCCATCTTTCTTGGGTTAATTTGCATACTCTCCTGATTGGCTGGTGAGTGTAGCGGAGGGGCGGTCAATTTACATGTTCATCTATTATTAGGTAAGATAGATTCCTCATCTTCATGACTTTAAATACTTAATGTCCTTTCATTGATGAAATCTTGGTTTCATTTGAAGCCCAACACAAAGGGGCTCTTAATAGTTCTTCAAGCAACTGCTTCCCTCACTGTATTTTAACAGCACCTTGTAATTCCTTATATACTTAGTTACTGCGTGTGAAGTGGCTGAGAGTGTAGTTAGTTGAAGAGTTTGATGTTTTATTCACCATTATGTGGTCCACATTCCTGGCCCTTAGCACAATTCTGTATAATTAATAGAGCTTACTAAGCTTCAGGTGAACTGTTAAGATGTGTTTTAGGTAGGAAGAACTTGGCTTCTGAGAAAACTCAGATCATTCATCTCAACAAACATTACTGAGCTCTCGTAAGTGACAACCACTATGTTAGGCGTTCCAGGAGGTGGTGATAGAAGACAGACACATCATCAACTCTGAGAGCCAGAAGCAAACAGCTCATTACGATCCAGGTTGAGGATTTGTAAGAGAGGAAAGCATGTGCTGGGAATACCGTGCTAGAAAAGTGAGGAGAGAGAGTCTGTAAAGGCTTCCCAGAGGAGGTGGAACTCTAAGCTCACTTTTTAAATACGTTTTTATTGATTTTTTTTTCTTTTAGAGATAGAGAGGAAGAGAGAGGGAGTGAGATATAGAATCCTATAAAACAGTAAAATTTAGTCTTTTCCCCATGTCTCCAAGCTAATGAGACTGTGTTTGTTTCTTGGTAAGATGACTGTCCATTCTCATGTAAACATGAAAGAAATAGAGGAGCTCAAGAGATGGAGGAAAATAACAGGTTTCTGGGAATATTAAGAAATCAGGCAGGTCGCCCTGGCTGGGTAGCTCAGCTGGTGAGAGCATCGTCCCCATATGCCAAAGTTGCAGGTTCGATCTCCAGTCAAGGCACATACAAGAATCAACCAATGAATGCATAAATAAGTGGAACAATCTCTCACTCTCTCGCTCTCCCATCCTTCTTCCTCTTCCTCCCTCCCTTCCTCTCCAAAATCAAATAATAAAAAAATTTTAAAAAGATATCCTCAACCAGGGACAATTTTGCCCCCAGGGGACATTTGACATTGTCTGGAGAATGCTTAGTCCTCACATCTTGGTGGGTAGTGGGTGCCGTGTCATCTAGTGGGTGTAGAGGGCAAGGGTGCTGCTAAGCACCTACATTGCACAGGACAAAGAATGACCTCGTCTAAAGCATCAGCAGTGGAGGCTGAGAAACCGTTCCTTGAAGGAAAAATGGACAAGTCAAAAGTTCAGATCACACACAAGAAAGAGAAGGCGTAACATTATCTTTTTAATATCTACTCATTGGAATATACAATGATAGCATCTAAAGACACTTTCTAATATTGCAGGACCGAGCCCCCATGTAAAGTCAAACATACTCTTGGGAAGCATGTGGAGCCTGTGGCGGGCGGTGACCGGCCCTCCTTTTGATTTTCAAGGAGACCCAGGTCAGCAAGGTGGGACCCTCATTGTAGGTCCAGGTAAGCATCCATCCCAGACCCAAAGGACACTTGGTGCGCTTCTGAAGTCCAGGGGCTACCGGCTTCTTCATAAAATAGCGGCCACGTGAAAGTGGGCAGCTGGGCATTGCGGCAGTCAGGATCTGTGCTTTCTCGGGGCACCTTGTGTTTTCAAAGGCGTGTGTGTGTTTTGATGTCTGTCTATTGGATGTAATGTGCCCATCGTTCCATGCCCGAGGGTTTTCAGCTATTTGGGACAGGAAACGTCAGCGGTGGTTTGGTGAACTGTATGTGGCTGTAACACTTGGAAAAATTCAATGGATGCCCTGGCCAGGTGGCTCAGTTGGTTGGAGCGTCATCCTGTACACGAACCAAAAGACTGCGGGTTAGATATCTGGGCAGGGCACATACCTAGTTGCGGGTTCAATCCCTGGTCGGTGAGTGTATGGGAGGCAACTGATGGATGTTTCCCTCTCACATTGATATTTCTCTCTCTCTCTCTCTTCCTCGCTCCCTCTCTCTCAAACCAATAAAAAAATATCCTTGACCTCACCGATGTGGCTCAGTGGTTGAGCGTAGACCCATGAAGCAGGAGGTCGTTGTTCAATTCCAGGTCAGGGCACATGCCCGGGATTTGGGCTCTATCCGCAGTGGGGGGATGTGCAGGAGGCAGCCGATTGATAATGCTCTCTCTCTCTCAAACCAATAAAAAAATATCCTTGATCTCACCGATGTGGCTCAGTGGTTGAGCGTAGACCCCATGAACCAGGAGGTTGTGGTTTGATTCCAGGTCAGGGCACATGCCCGGGTTTTGGGCTCTATCCACAGTGGGGGGATGTGCAGGAGGCAGCCGATTGATAATTCTCTCTCATCATTGCTGTTCCTATCTCTCTCCCTCTCCCTTCCTCTCTCTGAAAAATCAATAAAAACATTTTAAAAACATGTCCTTGAGTGAGGATTGAGAAAAGAGAAAAAAAAGGAAGTTCAATGGAGGTAAACATTCCAAATCAGAGAAAGTCATCAAGCACTGTTTTTGGGTCAATAGATGAGTCAATCTAAGTAGTTCTATCTACAAAAACTAGGAGATGTGCTCAGTTCAGAAGAAGGCAAAGCCCCAGGGACCGCTCATCCAGTAACAGTTCCTAAAGCCTCAGGCTTGCAATGGCTTGTTGGTCAGTTTGGAACAGCTGCTGGTCCTTGGCCCCACTCTGCTAAGTGGTTGAGTGTTGAATCTCTACCACCTTCAAGTACTGCAGTCAGGGACAGACACTCATACCTGACAGTGCCAAAAAGCAGCTGTAAACTGTCTTTCTTGGTTCTTCTTCCTTTAAAATTGTCCACGTGAGTGAGTGTAGCTTCTAAGGGTTCTAACATTCACATTTACTTTAATAAATCCCAGATAGCCAGAAGGCATTTAGAGAGAGGACTTTGACCAAGCATTATGACGGTGGGGCTTTTTGCGTGTGGAACACTACAACAAGCTAAACTGTTACTTAAGCTCCCTTTCCCTCTCATGCGTTCACACCAGTTGGACCCACCGAGAAGGAGCCGTGTTTTATGACTGAGTCCTGTGATTCGCCCAGAACCACATTAGCCACATTTCCCATGGACTCGTTCCCATCCTCAGAGGGGACGGTGTTTTCTGAGCCCCTCAGCTCCATGTCTCGGTGTCACTGGGCCACACGTGCAGTTGTGTGAGGATGAAGAGCACAGGGAGAGTGTCATTTGTGTCCAAGTTGGGAACATGCTTAGTAGGAGATTTTGATACTACCTCCTGGGAGAAATAGAGCTCCTCTAAGGAGAAAGCGAGGTGTACGTATTTACACAAATCTATCTCATGGCAAAACCAGTGTTTCATTTGCCTTGTTTGTATTATTTGATAATAAGCCAGCTTATGATATTAAATCTATAGTGATGACTAGAGACAGCAGGTAAGTACAATGCAGAAAACATGCCTCTAATAATGTTTCCTTAATCTACTGTTTTAAGTTAAAATTCTCATCTTGAGCCCAAGAATATAAGTAAACAGAACTGGACTTATGTATATTTGAGCAGTAAAAGAATTGTGGACATTTAAGTGTATCCTAAGTGATTGTCTTAATGTCCTTATTTTCAGCTTCTTTTGGTCTACAGTTATACTAGTAATGCAGATAGCCTTTTTTAAAAGATTTTTTAATTGGGGGGTGGGTGAAGATGTACAAAGGAGGAGAACACCTACAATAATGTCAACATTAAAAAATTTTAATAAATAAAAATAACAAAAAAATAAAAAATGCTTGCAAAGTGAAAAGAAAAAATCTTTCTTTTTTATTTTTAGAGAGAGAGGAAGGGAGAGGGAGAGAGAGAGAGAGAGAGATGTGAGAGCAAAGCATCCATGTGAGAGTGAAACATCAGTGGCTACCTCCTGCACACCCACTACCGAGCTTGAGACCCTGGCATGTGCCCTGACCGGGAATAGTATGGGCAATCTTTCAGTGCACAGGACAACGCCCAACCAACTGAGCTACACCGGCCAACGTGCAGATAGCCTATTAAATCAGTATCTGGGAGTGAATTTTTTTAAGCGAGTGATTTATTCCATTATTACATTTAAGAAACAGATGTGATTTTCCAGCTTGCTATCTATGTTAGTTCTATTTTCTGCCTGTTTGACAGGATATTTTATTTAATTATAACCTAATAGAAGGTCGTCATTTAAGAATCGTGCCCCTTGGACCTCATAAACATTAAGCATCACTCTTATTTAACCATGTCCTTGTCATGCTTTATTACCTTAATTTAAAATTACTATGGCGCTACACACAGAATATAATGTACTCTGGGTGAGTAATTGCTTCCTGTGGACTAATTAAAAGTTGACAAGCGTCCTTGATTCTAAATCCAATAGGGAAAAATAGATGCCAACCTCTGCCTTTTATTCTTATTGCCTTCTAGGTCACTACATCCATTTTATACACCATGACAGGAATAGACTGGCTCACAAACCCATCAACTCTGTTTTACAGCTTGTAGGAGTCCAGCAGGTGGACTTCACAGGCAGACCTTCAGTCATCCATGTGTGACAGACAGACTGTCACTTTCAGATGGACCCTGAGACATGGCGCGAAATGTTGGAGTGTATCCTTGTGCAGTGTCTACTCTGTCAGCCCTTGAGGAGTTCTGAAAACATAGAGACATGTACCCGTTGAACCACATGCTGAGAGGCATTGATTGTCAAAAATGTGATGTATATTTATAATTTTATGGCTTTTATAGTTTTAAACAGAATTTTATTTATACAAAATAAAACTTTTGTGTGTTTTTTCTTTGTTACTCCTCACTCGAGAATATTTTCTCCATTCATTTCCACAGAGAGTGGAATGGAGGAGGAGAGACAGAGAGAGAGACACATCAATTGAGAGAGACACATCGATTGGTTTCTCCCGCATGTACCCTGACCCAGGGCGGGGATCAAGCCTTCAACCGAAGTATGTGCCCTTGACTGGAATTGAACCTGCAACCCCGAGTGATTTATTCCATTATTACATTTAAGAAACAGATGTGATTTTCCAGCTTGCTATCTATGTTAGTTCTATTTTCTGCCTGTTTGACAGGATATTTTATTTAATTATAACCTAATAGAAGGTCGTCATTTAAGAATCGTGCCCCTTGGACCTCATAAACATTAAGCATCACTCTTATTTAACCATGTCCTTGTCATGCTTTATTACCTTAATTTAAAATTACTATGGCGCTACACACAGAATATAATGTACTCTGGGTGAGTAATTGCTTCCTGTGGACTAATTAAAAGTTGACAAGCGTCCTTGATTCTAAATCCAATAGGGAAAAATAGATGCCAACCTCTGCCTTTTATTCTTATTGCCTTCTAGGTCACTACATCCATTTTATACACCATGACAGGAATAGACTGGATCACAAACCCATCAACTCTGTTTTACAACTTGTAGGAGTCCAGCAGGTGGACTTCACAGGCAGACCTTCAGTCATCCATGTGTGACAGACAGACTGTCACTTTCAGATGGACCCTGAGACATGGCGCGAAATGTTGGAGTGTATCCTTGTGCAGTGTCTACTCTGTCAGCCCTTGAGGAGTTCTGAAAACATAGAGACATGTACCCGTTGAACCACATGCTGAGAGGCATTGATTGTCAAAAATGTGATGTATATTTATAATTTTATGGCTTTTATAGTTTTAAACAGAATTTTATTTATACAAAATAAAACTTTTGTGTGTTTTTTCTTTGTTACTCCTCACTCGAGAATATTTTCTCCATTCATTTCCACAGAGAGTGGAATGGAGGAGGAGAGACAGAGAGAGAGACACATCAATTGAGAGAGACACATCGATTGGTTTCTCCCGCATGTACCCTGACCCAGGGCGGGGATCAAGCCTTCAACCGAAGTATGTGCCCTTGACTGGAATTGAACCTGCAACCCTTCAGTCTATGGGCCAGTTCTGTATCCACGGAGCCAAACTGGCTAGGGCCAAAATAAAACTTTAAAAGGCATAATATTGTAAATACTATTCTTATATTATGGTATATCCATTCAATGTAAGGTTTTGGGGGGCCATAAAAAGCATAAATCCTTATGAAGAACATATAAGGGGAAAGTTAAGCAACTCGACATAATTTTATCCAGTGGGAAAAAAGTAAAAAAAAAAAAAAAAAAAGAAGTTTCCTGTGGACTAATTAAAAGTTGACAAGCATCCTTGATTCTAGGAAGCAATAAATCCAATAGGGAAAAATAGATACCAACCTCTGCCTTTTATTGTTATTGTCTTCTAGGTCACTACATCCATTTTATACACCATGACAGGAATAGACTGGATCACAAACCCATCAACTCTGTTTTACAGCTTGTAGGAGTCCAGCAGGTGGACTTCACAGGCAGACCTTCAGTCATCCATGTGTGACAGACAGACTGTCACTTTCAGATGGACCCTGAGACATGGCGCGAAATGTTGGAGTGTATCCTTGTGCAGTGTCTACTCTTGTCAGCCCTTGAGGAGTCTGAAAACATAGAGACATGTACCCGTTGAACCACATGCTGAGAGGCATTGATTGTCAAAAATGTGATGTATATTTATAATTTTATGGCTTTTATAGTTTTAAACAGAATTTTATTTATACAAAATAAAACTTTTGTGTGTTTTTTCTTTGTTACTCCTCACTCGAGAATATTTTCTCCATTCATTTCCACAGAGAGTGGAATGGAGGAGGAGAGACAGAGAGAGAGACACATCAATTGAGAGAGACACATCGATTGGTTTCTCCAGCATGGACCCTGACCCAGGGCAGGGATTGAGCCTGCAACTGAAGTATGTGCCCTTGACTGGAACTGAACCTGCAACCCTTCAGTCTATGGGCCAGTTCTCTATCCACGGAGCCAAACTGGCTAGGGCCAAAATAAAACTTTAAAAGGCATAATATTGTAAATACTATTCTTATATTATGGTATATCCATTCAATGTAAGGTTTTGGGGGGCCATAAAAAGCATAAATCCTTATGAAGACCATATAAGGGGAAAGTTAAGCAACTCAATACAATTTTATCCAGTGGACAAAACGTTTAAAAAAGGATATTAAATTCTTATCTACATTATATAATCACATTTTTGTATGTATTTGTTTATATTTTTGTATGTTTAGAAAAAAAGAAACAGAATCTTTTTAAAATTTATTATTTGTTTTAAGCCTGACCCGAGGATATTTTTCCATTGCTTTTTTAGCTAGAGTGGAAGAAAGGGAGGAGGGGGAGAGAGATCAATGTGAGATAGACACATCGATTGGTTGCCTCCCGCATGTGCCCAAACTGGCCTGGGGAACAAACCTACAACACAGGATGTGTCCTTCTTGGGAATCAAACCCAAGACCCTCTGGTGCCTGGGATGGCGCTCTAACCACTGAGCTATGCCAGCCAGGGCAACACACCAGAATCTTGCTTGTAGGTATCTCTGTATGGCAGCATTTATTTTCTTTTTCACGCTGTTCTATATTTCCCAACTATTACATAGTGAGCATTATTCATTTTTTGGCCAGGAAAAGGTCTTTAAAAATTACATGAAGAATAGATTCCTGTGCAACAAGCTCCAGGCCCTCAACGGTGCCATTATAGAGGCTGCACGGCCATATATTTCTATCGCAATTGTTCTACTCGGAGGAAATGAGGCAAACCACACCTTCCTATAGTCTGTTCAAAGCACCTTGTCACCCACACCCACTATCCATTTCACTAGGACCTTTTTGGGGCTGGGGGGCAATTCTCTGATTATCAGTGGAGTTGAGTGTCTGTCCATAAGCTTGTGGATATTCAGGTCATTTCACTGTGAATCACCCATTCACATCCATTGCCAATTTTCTACTGGGTTGTTTGGTTTTTCCTTACTGGTCTGTAAACCTGTGCACATCCTGGACCCTAACTGTGTCAGTTACATGCACTGCAGACATCTCCACTCGGTCTACAGCTTGTCTTCTCACTTGGTTATAATGTGTTTTAGTATTTGCCAGGTTTAATTTTAATATCATGAAATTTTCCTTTATGATTTATGGGTATTTTTGTTTTATGTGAGAACTCTCTATAAACAAATATTCTCCTGTGTTCTTTTTAAAATTTTACACTTTTCTTCCACATTTGGTCTTTAATGCATGTGAGATTTACTTTGTGTGTGCTATGAGATAGAGATTTAATTTTATTTTCTCTATAGTGAGCATTGGTCCAGAATACTTACTGAATAGTTCATTGTTTCCTACTATTCATAGTGCCTTGCCATTAAATTCAAGTTCCTGTATATGAATGGAGACCTCAGAAATTCATCCCTCAGGAATTTTTTTGGGGGGAGGAGGGAGGAGAAAAATATATTTTAGGTATTTGAGATACATATTTAAAATATGGTGGACATGCTTTTCTTTAAAGGGAATTTTAAGAATTGCTTAGCCCTGGCTGGTTGCTAAGTGGTTAGAGCACAGAGGGTGGCGAGTTTGATTCCTGGTCAAGGGCACATGCCTGGGATGCAGGTTCAATCCTTGGCCCCAGTCGGAGTGCATGAGGGAGGCAACCAATCAATGTGTCTCTCTCACATCGGTGTCTCTCTCTCTCGCTCCCTCTCCCTCCCTTCCTCTCTCTTTCCAAAAAGCAATGGAAAAAAGATACTCAAGTAAGGATTAACAACATTGAAAAAAAAACAGGAAAAATGGTTTAAACTAAAAATACTTTATGATTTAAACATATACTGTGCTTTGTTTACTTTCTAGACAGCTTCCATTTCTTACCCCCAAATTGCTTTTATTTAGTGGATTGTCATCTTTATTTTTTCTAGAACCTTAATATGAAGTGTCCCAGAAATTCTGATAAAAATTATCTCAAAGTCAAAATACAGGGTGGAGCAAAAGTAGGGGTTTATAGTTGCTCATATGGAAAAAAATACAATAATTAACAAATAACAAACTCTGTTTTGTATACTCACAACTGTAAACCTACCTTGCCCCACCCTGTATTGGTAATTATTAGCAAGTATAATACTGCCTTGAATTTACAATTTTTTAATATAGAGCATATGAAGTCACACAAAAATATATATTTAAAGTATCCAAATATTTGAATGTATTTTCATGTACATATACATGCACAATCATGTTCTTAATTTAAAAAATTGCTCATAAAATTAAAAACTAAGCAATTTTGTGCTATGTTTTATAGTAAAGAAAGACTGATGGTAACCCAGATCCCTTTGTTGCTTTTTAAAATAAATATGTGAAATTGAAAATTTTCCTCTAAGCACTGCCTTATCTAAAAAATATATATATTTAAAAATATGGTACAAGTTTTAAATATACATTGGTAAGAATTCTAAACACTTGACAGATGGCTC